GGTCACAATCTGCCCATATTTGTCAATGGGGAGGACACTCAAGATTTTTCTTACAACGTCGAATGGTTGCATTTGAGTAAGTCCAAGCCCATCGACTTTCTCTACAAGAACATTCAAGCGTGAGTACATTTCATTAGCACTCTCTTTAGGAAGCATCTCAAAAGAATTAAGCTTTTTCATTACGAGATGATAGCGGTCCTCACGCTCGCTCTTAGTTCCCTCATAGAGCGCACAAATGTCCAACCATAGTGCATGGGCGTCCTTATGGTTCCTCACCCGGTTAAACACATCTTTGCAAAGGCCTCTAAAGATGGTGTTTCTAGCCTTTGCATTCTATTTTTCGTAATTCACCTCATCGCCTTGTAGGTGAGTGGCATCCCGAGGTTTTGGGAAACCTTGTGAGACGGCTCTAAGTATTCCAACACCTAGAGCTTCTAAATACTCCTCCATGCGGATTTTCCAATATGGAAAATAATCCCCCTCAAAGATAGGAGGAGGATCATCCCCGTGAGATATCTTTTTCTAGACGGTTAAGTCTAAATACGTGAGCACGAGGCTCCGATATCAATTGAAAGGATTAAGATGCCCAAGAGGAGAGGTGAATTGGGCTAATTCTAAAATTCTTTCAATAATTAAACCCTACAGTTAGCCCACTTCACCTCTTGTGCCTAGAAAGTATTTCTATTGTTCTACCGCATAAAAGTTTAGCAACCCATGTTCCAGTCCTACTCTAATATGGCAATTCTATGAATGTAAAGACAAGAATTGAATTGCTCAAAGTAAATACTTAAAGTAAAGAGAGAAGGAGGAACGCCATGATGTTTTGCCAAGGTATCGGAGAGTCGCCACTCCCCACTAGTCCTCGTTGGGCACCCGCGCAAGGGATGTAGCTCCCCCTTGATCCGCGTAAGAATCAAGTGCTCTCTACAGGTTGATTCTTCGACACTCTGTCGCGGTGAATCACCCACAACCGCTCACAACTTGAGTTGGGTCATCCACAAGCTCCATCGGATGATCACCAAGCTCCCAATCACCACCAAGCCATCTAGGTGATGGTGATCACCAAGAGTAACAAGCACGAACTCTCACTTGACCATGACAAGCCTAATGAGAAGGGTGGATGCACACTTTGCTACTCTTGCTTTCACTAATGACGTCTCTCTCTTGGATTCTCAAATCTCAATCACCTCACTAGGGCTTTGCTCTTCTTGGCACTCTCAAGGGTGTTTCTCAGCTGTTGGAATGAGCAAAAAGTGATCCCTCACATGAATAGAAGTATTTATACACCCTTGTTCAAAACGAACTGTTATGTGCCTCTGTGGTTGACCGGACGCTCCGGTCAAGGTGATCGGACGCTCCGGTTAGTTCACCTGCCACTGCGTAGTTTAAGTTGTGACCGGACACTGAGCAGCGTCCGGTCAGCACTGACCGGACGCGTCCGATTATGAAAACTGCTCTCTACAACCTTACTGGAGTTGACCGGACGCTGGCACCCAGCGTTCGATCACTCACCTCTCAGCATCCGGTCACACCAGACGACTTCACCTTGATCAAATTAACTGACCGGACTCTGCGCCAGCGTCCGGTCACACCAGAACCAGCGTCTGGTCGACATTTGACCCTCTATTCACTTCGAACTCGCAATCATATGTGAATGAAGTTTGCTCTAATTGATCTAAGGGCTTCTTAGGAGCTACCTAGTGCTAGATTTTGACAAGTGTGCACCACGCCTAACCCATTAAACTCATCTAGGTCAAGCTACCCGTCCATACCCCCCTTAATAATACGGCCAAAGAAAAAATAAAGTCCTAAACTACTCTAAGTGTCTCTTTAATACCAAACGACACTTAGAACTAGTCCATCCTTAACCTTGTCGTCCATCCTTTGAAAACCAAAACGATTTCTATTGTAGGGGCATGACAACCATGATTGCCCAATCAATTGCCATTACCATGACCTAACTTAATTGCATCTACAAAACACACGTTAGTCACAGTAATCTCGTATTGTCATTAATCACCGAAACCCAACTAGGGGCCTAGATGCTTTCAGGCCCCTACGCCTCGTGCCTCGTGCGCCCTACGCCTCGTGCATCGCGCGCCTCATGTCTTGTGCCCCTACCCGCGCCTCGCACTGCGCTCCGCCGCACCGCGCCTCCTGTCCGGACTCGCGTTGCGCATGGCCAAGGTCTGTGGACTGTGGGCGACCTCCGCGCTGGCGTCGAGCTTCGCGTCAACGAGCCTCCATTGGACGACAGCAAGTAGATGAGTACACGTTACAACCATATGTTTCATGCGTTTCGGATGTATATTGCATATGTTTTATTTGAATGTTACAAAGTAGATCTGGTATTGCATATGTTGTAATGTCTATGCACGTATGTTGCAAGTGTATGTTTCAGCTGTTTTCAAACGTATATTGCATGTGGTCCCCCTCGGGCGCAGCGGTCCCCACATGCGCGCGGGAAGCGAATCGAGCGCAGCGGCTCCAACGTGCATGTGTAGCAGCAGCCGCATGCGTACCGTAGCAGCAGGCACATGTGTACCGTTGCAAGTCAATATTTTATAGTTTTCTCCCTAATTTTGGTCAAACTTGATATGTTTTGACTCTACGAATGTTGCAATGACTTAAGATTTAGGATGAATGGAGTATATACTCAAGGTCCTGGTCATTGGGTTGGTTCATGATTGTGTTACATAATAAAAAAAATCTGTCTCTCTTGCTCACTCTAATAACAAGTCATGCATATATATAAAAAAGCTATTCTTTCAACATCAGCATGTGAGCGACATTTTTTATCTGATGTGAGGTCAAGAAGAGGGGGGGGGGAAGGGAACGAAATTCTTTGGTCCTTTAGGATAGAGCCTAAGATGGAGGCTGATGTTACAATGCAAGTTCTTTTGTTGGCGCGCCACATGGCCTCCTGAATTACCACAAGTTTCTTCATGGGGCGTTTGGGTCACCTAAACTAACCAACCGTTTGTTGCTAGCTACGAAAAGCTATCGTCCTGTTCGTTTGGACTGGTTTGGCTTATAAGCCATGGCTGAAAGTACTGTTGACTGGTTTGATGTGAGAAAAAAATACTGTTCGTTGGCTGATAAGCCATAGCTTATAAACCAAATACGACCAAGCAAACAGGCTATATATTTTTTAGCTGAGCTATTATACACGCTCTATTTGGGATTCTCTAGTTAATACAATTAGTTGTATTTAGTCACCGTAACCTGCTAACAACTTTTTATTATTTGATTAGTTCATTTCTAACCAATTAGTTGGGTTACTAGAGGTAGTATTTAGATCCACTAGAGATAATTTTAATAACTACCTAGATCCAGACATGCTCTCTTAGTTCGCTCTCGCTCTTCCTAGCCCTAAATCTCCTTTTATAGTACCTATATAGTGTAACAGTTGGTATCTAGATCCACCAAAATTTTTAAAATTTGTTTTTCTGTACTCATGATGCGAGTGCAGTGCTAACTCGCAAAGCAATTTGAAGGATTCCAAGTGATGATGCAATAGACACTTGACAAATAATTGAGGTGTACTCTGATAAGGAAATTTTGAAGACAAGGTTCGTAACTATCAATTCCGTGGTCTCCGTGGCTACTTGGTTGCAGACAATGGAAGACGTATCCTGAATTACAACATGTTGCGTGACAAGGTGTTTGTGAGATCTGACAAAGATCAGTACCAAGTGCATGAAGCAGCTCGATGCCCTGAAACAAATGGGAATTGTACGGTGTACCAGACATAGTTTGACAATCCGGCCCATGGCATTCTTCTATACAGCACATCTTGTGATGATGTGTATATTTTTTTTTGACTCGACGCGTGGCAGTCTCGAGACAAGAATTTTGGTCTAATATTGCATTGTATAGGTCAAAGTATGTCGACATTGCTAGCGCTTTAGAACTACTTCATGAAGAGGATTTTGGAAAGGAATATATTGTGTTTCAAATGTGGTGAAATATTAAGGCCATTGCCATTGCCCCCGTCCTATATCCTATACAGAAGTACTAAAATAAAATTCCCACCATCGTCACTTTGTCTTAGAGCTTCCTTTTTTTTTTCTTTCTTCACAAGGATTAGAGCGTTCTTTGATCATCAAGTGAAGAGAAAAAAAATTGCCCAAGAAAAGGTGAGGTTGGAGGGCGGAGGCAGCGGTGCAGTGCAAGCTCATGCCTCTTTGACACCTTGGGATCGTTCCACCACCGCGCATGTCTTGCAACTGCCCCGGCGCCGTGGGGGTGGGTCGGTCGGCGTCCCGCGTACGAATACGTACGCTTTACAGCAGGTGCGCCGTGCGCCCCGTATGGCTGGCCGTATGCGTTGGGCCCCGCCTCCTCAAAACCGCAAGACCCTCAACCGCCGTCCAACTGACACGACACAGGGGGGCACCAGTCACGGAACTCGCACTGGCATGTGGACCCAAAACGTGTGGGACCCACACCACATAGCCCCTTTGCATACTCTTAAATCCGACTTGATCTGCTTTTTTCTTATCCGAAAGTATTTTTCTCGACACATGTTCCTCTGATATTCTTCGAAAGAAATTGACGCCGGAAGCCACCGCCAAATAGTCGTCCGGGCCCGGGGCCCGCGCCCTCTGCAGGAGCAGCACGCGGCTGCCTGATAGGGACAACGCGGCATGGCATTCCTCCCTCGCGGAAATGACACCCTTACCCCCCTCGCGGACTCCAGCTTGCCTGGACCAAGTCCACGCGCCGTTGTCTAGGGTGGCGGCGGCCCGGTCTCCCGCGAAGTCTGCGCCCGTAGAGCCACTGGCCCATGCGCCGAGCCCACCCAAGCTCCCCCTCGTCGGCCGTCCACCTCCCCGTCCACAGCACCCCGGGATTCCCACCGCGCTCCATGCACCCTCCTCACCACCCGAGGCCGGTCCCCGCCGTCCGTCCGCCTCGGGATACGTGTCCCTGCTGACCCGCCCTCCGTGGACCGTCGCCGCCGCTGCGGCATCGCTCCCCGCTCCCGGCTCACACGTATGCCACGCCCACCCGCACCAAGACACCAACCCGACCCCGCGCTGCTCACACACACACAGCACAGACACACTCTCTCTCTCTCGCGCGCGAGACCACGCGCCGCGCAAGCCCGCCGCAGCGACCCTCGAGGGTGCGAGCTGGCTCTCTGGCCTCGCTGCCGGCGCCGACTGAGATGGACCCGCGCTTCGCGCTGCCGGCGGCGCCGGCGCCGTCCACGGAGGCGGCGGCGGGGGCGGCTTCGCGCGGGGCACCACCGGCGGGCGCACTCGGAGACGTTCCTCCGGTTCCCCGACGCGGACCTGCTGCTGGACCCGGACGGCGACTTCTCCTTCTCCGACCTCGACTTCCCCTCCCTCTCCGACGACTCCCCGGCCGCCTCCGACCCCACCCCTCCGCCCCCGCCGCTGCTGCAGCAACAGCAGCAGCAGCAGCAGGCGGCCCCGGCTCCGGCCCCCCGCCCGCCCGGCGGCGGGGCCCACACGCGGAGCCTCTCCCTCGACGCCGCCTTCTTCGAGGGCCTCTCGTTCCAGGGACCCAGCGGGAGCGCCTCGGGTGGGCCCGGGCACAAGAGGAGCGGCTCCATGGATGGGGCCAACTCACCGTTCGAGGGCGAGTCCGCGCTCTCCGGCGGCCTGCCGGACTACGCCAAGAAGGCCATGCCCGCCGAGAGGATCGCCGAGCTCGCGCTGATCGACCCCAAGCGCGCAAAGAGGTGGGGAATATTTCTGGCATTTGATGCTTCCTAGATAGATCCGGAAGGAGAATCCTTATCCAGCACAGTAATTTACCGTGCGGAGCAAGAGTCCTGAGAATTTAGTACTGATTGCTTCTACCATTAGTATTGTGCTATGGCATCTGAGCTATCTACCTCGTTTTAATGACAATGATTGCGCGATTTTTTGGTTCCTGTGGTGTCTCCGAGCTATCCACTATCCAGGGGTTGTTGATTTGTGCTGAGTTTTCGATGGTGCTGTCGTGTAGGATTCTGGCGAACAGGCAGTCCGCAGCTAGGTCAAAGGATAGGAAGATCAAGTACACTAGTGAGCTGGAGAGGAAGGTCCAGACTCTGCAGACGGAGGCCACTACGCTGTCAGCACAGCTTACCCTGCTCCAGGTATGGGGTTATATTTTGTTTCAAAATCAATTAAGTTCGACAAGAATTGGTGTGAAGAATTACACCAAATCAGCTTCATCTTTCTGATAGGCTTTTGGTTGCGTGCTTGTGTCGATTTCTGTGTGGGAGTTTGGTTCATGTTTGGTTGGAGTACATTTATTTATTGCTGTTTTGAGTCAATTAGTTGGTTTGTTTTCAAATTAAACTCGTAAAACTATTATTTTCTGATGGAACAATCACTTTGAAGTAGCTTTATTATTTCCACTTTTGCCAGAGCCCAGCAGTTTATAAGGAATGTAGCATGCCATGTAACATGAGTTGATACTGGGAACTGGGATTGGGCTTTGGTACTTTTGTGACAATTTAGTCATTTCAGTTTGCATTTGTGAGCCACTTAGCTGCAGAACATTGTTGTTTAGGATTGAAGCAAGTGCAATGAAAGGTGCTATATACCTAATTACTGACCATTTCTAAATTAATGCACGTGCCAGAAAAGGATGCAGATGCAAGTATGCAACCTTTGTCTGAAAAAAAAATATCGATATTGGGAAAAGCCTATTTTATGTATGGTCATTTATACTTGTGCGCCTAGTGTTTGAATGTATCATATTGTTAGGCGTTGTTTGTGTATCGAGAATAAATCATGACTTGAGTGTGCACTAAAATTTGATCTGATCTGTTAATGGCAAGTTAGAAAGGCATGGTAAATTAGTTTGCTATTAAGATTCTCAAATCTTCTCTGGATTTCTATGGAAATTTGTATGGTGTTTACGTTTGGGTGCATGGAGGCCACATGTGTATAAATTGATATTTAAGATGTAATTAGAGCTTAAGCATTTATTTCCTTTGTGTGCACTTCTGCCTATGGAATTATAGTTGGCGTGGCAAATGAAGTTGGTAGGATTCAATATTTCAATATGCCTATTAGTCTTTAGAGGTAAAAGCGGATGTTTGGGGACCGATAGGTCACTACTCACCACAAATGGGCCATTGATGCTCCATTTCAGAGTATGATTTGATTGAAGTGGATAGAATCAGATGTTTAGTGTTAAGGTGAAGATTAAGTGGCCACAGACAGAAGATTTTTCTCTATCAAGAACAATTTGGCTAGTAATCTACCATTTAGTTTGGCAAGGATAGTCAGCTTACATTCCCAGGAGTAACACTATGCCCTAAATAAAGAAAGAAATAAGAGGATTGGTGATGAGATAGGTGGGCCTAATTCATCTTGGTGATTTGCTATTGTTCATGTAGCACTTGAACTTCTAAACTGCTTTTTATTTGCTACTGGTAGCGCCTATTTTCACAATATAATGAAAGGTGTCCTGCCTTTATCTTTTCTTTCCTATAAGTCCTGTCTTTATCTTTATCCAGTATGTGACCTTCAACACTTCCAAAGGAATATAGTTAGTTTAGCGTGATTTGAGAGCTAGCATTATCTCATGCTGAGTGTCATGGAATATGTTGCTTTTGTTCCGAAATAATTAATTATTGTTTAATAGTATACTTTTGCAGGTTTAACATTTCCCACTTTAGTAATTTCTTTTTGTGCAGTATTGGAGTAATGTTTCCAATAGTCTTGCACTCTTGCTTTATTGATATTTTCATGTTGCTGTTGCATAACCTCCCTTTTGTATGCCTGAGAATATTTGGTAGGGTATTGTTATTGAAGACTGCCAACCAACGACTTTTATACCCTTTTCTGGATATGTTTACCATTTTATGATGCAACCTTTTATCTGTTCTCCACATATATAACATTGTCATGTCTGACATACTGCGATTTACTTCAAACCCAGAGGGATACAACTGGTCTGACTACTGAAAACAGAGAGCTCAAGCTTCGGTTGCAATCCATGGAAGAGCAAGCTAAACTGCGAGACGGTATGCACTGCTCTTTGAAACATTTTTAGATCTCCTGGTTGTCATCATTGATTGCTCTTGATACACAAAATTTCACTGCCAAGATCTTTGGTTATGCTGACAAATTTATTTATCTGTTACTAAAGAAATAGAACAGTTGTAATTTCATAGTTATTTAGGGAATCAGCTCACTGAAATATTTCGTTTGATACCTCACGCAGCTTTGAATGAAGCCCTGCGAGAAGAAGTCCAGCGACTTAAGATAGCTGCTGGACAAGTTGGGAACATGAATGGGAACCCCTTCAATGGTGGACTCCAGCAGCAGATCCCATCCTATTTCGTGCAGCAGCAGCAGCAGCAGCAGATGTCATACTTTGGTGGCCACCAGGCTCAGCATCACAATCAAAACCATCGTCACCAGAGTCCATCAAATGGGGGGCAGTCGCTCAGTGGTCAGTCCCTAAACGACTCGATGGATTTCATTTGAGGACAATATCAGGGCCAATATTACATCATATACCAACTGCAGTTCAGCACTGTAAAGATAGCTAATGTACAATGTATGCATATGCCTCATTGGTAGTGTAGTTAGCTCCTCTTTGTATCATCATTAATCTGAAAGTGGCTCCTGTATGTCAAAATGCTGTTTGTTTTCTTCTTTGCTGGTTTCTGGAGTAATGTGTAAGACTGAACTAACTACCTTTAACAATTTATGTAAATGTTTAGCTTTTTTTTTCATGGTGGATGGCTATTGTTACCTGTCATTGTTGTGCTCCATCGTGTGCCCTTCACTGTCTCGGGTTTCTGCGTTCTAGAGCTACTATGTAGTGTAGCGTGGGATACAGAGAGTTTGCAAGGCGATAACGTGAAATTAGGGCTAGCATGTCAAGTCATAATCAAGTAATAGTGGCAAAAGACACGATGACTGGAATATGGTGGCCCATATAGGCCACCAATGATTGCTCCCTCGAATCACAAAATAAAAGTGTTTTGCATATTAGTACACTGTATGTAAAACCACATGTTTAAATCACCTACTGAGACGAGTACATGTAGACATACCTGTTAACTTATTTATAGAGTGGAGTTTTAAAAGATTTGACCATTCTTAAACACCAGTGAGTTATTATTACCTAGGACCGATTAAAAAAACGGTTTTACCTAAGGCAGTAGCGTACTAGCTCAAAGGCAAGATATACTTTGAGATAATACTTTGCCTGGACCTCACCGTTCAGGCAGGTTGTTGGCTGGTCTCTCTCAGTCATTTGACAAATCAGAAACAGCATCATCCTGGAGGTCGATGGGATCTGAATATGACGATACTCCTTCTCACATCCCACCTTTCTTTCTCGTTTGACACTTCTCACATCTCACCTTTCTGTAACGATAGTAGACCTTTAACCTTTAATTTGGACAAAACTATCTACTTTCACAAAATGAGTGGACAATTGCACTTGTGTTTTTTTTTATATATAATAATAAAACTCGATCTGCGGGGTTATGACAGCCCCGGTTTTCGATTAAGAAGAAGATCTTCTCACACGATCGAAAAACCCCGAACCTCCGCCCCCATCCTCGACGCAGGAGGTGCCGTCACCCTGTGAGAACCGGGCCGGGACCTTCCACTGCGCTTTGGTACATGGGGACGGGCGAGGGGATTTTTTTAACCTCAGCCTGAAATCCGCTCCCACGGGGAGTCGAACCCAGGACCTGAGGAGTGCCGCCCTTTGGCTTTTTTTATATATAATAAAAGGACCTCATCATGTTGCTCTTCTTTTTTTCACCAAGGTGGGGCATGCTCAAAGGGGCCACTTCTGTTTGTTCTTCGGTTGCTATCGGTAACCACATTCTTTTGACTCATGTTACTTTATAAGTTGTATTTACAAAACAAAACCACATCGGTGTTTCAAATAAGGTTTTTATGCAATGATTTTTTGGATATAGGATTACCACCCCCATATAAGAGCAGCTGATGCCTGCTAGTTTTTAGGTGTTGAGTATCATTGCCATTTGCCAATCCTGGATGATTTTTGCATAAAGGTTTCTTAGTAAAAGTTTCTTAAGGAAAGTGTGGAACATGTTACTTGTGCTAATTAACTTAGAAACTGGCTTTAGTAGGTTCAAGTATATAGCACCAGCACTAACAGGAATTCCTGAATTTCCCTGTGTTAGTATCGGCCATGACACAGTAACCAATATCATAACATGATCTGAAATTTCACCATACGTATATGGTTTTGGGGAACAGCACTACAACAGGCTCCTTTTTCTATTAGTAATGTGCTTTCACTATCACACTGGATGGCACACCATTAAGGACACTTGTTTTTGAAGTGCAGGTGGAGAAATCAAAGGCAATATAGTAAACAAAAGTGAATGCTTTCTCTAAGAATGTCTTTTCATTGCATTAGCTGTTCAGAATGGATGCACTCACCCTCATCATGTTGGCGCAGGATCACAGGTTAGGCTGGCAAAGCAGTAGGAACCAAAGGCCATGTATTTATGGCAAACATGTCACTACAGCATTTTGCCTTGCTATTTTCTTTTGCAGCTTCCAAAGCCTTATTTCTTACTCATGCACTGAATTTGTTAGGATGATCAAATCGATCATCTAGCCTTTTCTTTTCTCAAACTACGCTGGAAATCTGTGTGCCATTTCATTAAGAAGCGATCGTATAGCTTGCTAGATCATTGAAAAGAATCATCTGGCTTACTGAGGATTATCAGCTTGTTGTAAGTTTCATTGCTGCAATTTAGCCTTCTTGTTTCGTGCAATCTTAATGAATTCGCTGTAAGGAGTGACTGAAACTATCTTTCACTTTCAGAGCTCATTAAGTCATTAAACTCCTGCTGTTTTCTAGGTCAACTTGCCTGTTGCTCAATACTTCGCATCTTTGAGTGCCTGTCCTTCAGATTAATGGTACATATATCATACGGTGCCAGACTGCTGCATTATGCATTTATGCTTCAGGTATTCTTTTTGGGCTTTCTTGTTTCGAAAATTGATTGGAATTGTGGTACTCATTCCACAAGGTGAGGGGGACTGAGCTGGACCTAGGACTCAAATCCGGCTATGTTGACAGAAGCTCTAGCACTCCTAGAAGGAGATGAGCACCATATAAAATAGATGGCAACAGGTTATTGTGCCGTCACATTTTCCTTCCTACATGGCGCATCCTGCATTTCCCCTCAAGAACTCTATGTTTTCCACTAAAAATTTTCTGCCAGTCACATTTTGACAAGTGTTTGAAGAACCATATCAAGTCATGTTTTTTTAATATGGAAATCTCTACTAAATTCTTCTAATTATTTGATTCTGTGATCATCATGTTGGCGCCTGCCCTGGGAGAACCAAACAACTAGGTTTGTTTATCATATAAAATTGTTTCAATATGCTGATTCCATGACTTTCAATCAGAATCATTGGTCTGGTGGAATCATTGGTCCAGGTTTGCATTTATGATTTGTTATGTTCTCTCAAATATTGTTTCGCTTCTTTCTCTGGTACCATTAGGATGGCACCAAGGTCTCCATCGGCCGGCCTTGACTCATTTGATGTCATTGTTGGTAGAGTATTTCATAAGCATGGTAAACAGTCAAACCTATACTACATGGATTCTGCAGTCGTAAATTTCTTTTCTCGGTTTCAAGATAATTACTGCCATGCTCTACAAATAATGGTATCATGAAAGTCGTTATGGATGTTACTTTTTCTTCAGAATTTACTGGTCTATAAACTCGTGTCATGGATTTCCTCCTGGTTTGGTTCATGGCTGTGACAATTACAGTAAGCTTCTTCCCTTCTTCACTGACAAAACAAATTATGAATTCATGTGCATAGCTTGTATATGTTCTAAGCTGCCAAGAATGTTTTGTTATAAAAGAATAAATACTTCACTTTCCAACTGTTCATGTTTGTTTTATTGTACTTTGATATCCCTATTGTTCTGGTTAATCATGACAACAAAGCTAATACTTGGTGATAAACAATGCATGGGAGTACTGACACAGGCCTAATCACAAGGCACCCCTTGTTGACGTCTTGGATGATGACATCTCAGCTTGTCCTCTAATGCCATCCATTTCTGTGCCACTCGACAAGTGAGCAAGAAACTGTTCTTTTATGGTTCCATTTTACAGTCATCACTAACGTTTGTGGTTTTTACATCTGGGCCTCTTTATTCGATCTTACCTCAGTATACTGCTCACAATAATCTCAGCATGTAAATTATATTGCAGATTTTCAGTCTTTTTTGAGCTAACTGTAATTGAAAATTACCAGGGAGAAGAGTTCCAGTGCAGATTGCTGTGAAAAACGAGAGGTAGCTAGCTTGGAACCAAGAATATCTCAGTGGCCCACATTTGTTCTGCGTGAGTTCCCTTTCTGCATCAACTCTACCCCTGCAGACAAGCAGCATTGTTCCCTTCCAGTTACATTCTATTGGCTACCTCTCCTGCATCTCTCTTAAAAATTGATGTGGCGTTAAAATCAATGCTGTACCAACTACATTATGGAACTGCAAAGAGTTTAATATTAATTTACAACATCAGTACATAATGGCTGGTGACACTTGCACATAAAAGAATTGGGCATGGAAGCTGGTTCGTGTCTTACGCTTATTGGCCAATCAGTATAAAACTGGACACAGCCAGAGGCATAAGAAAGTTTTTTTGAACGCAATGGCAGGAGCTCTGCCTTTCAATTAAGTATAGAGAAAAAGGGTTTATGTACAGAGCATAGAGGCATAAGAAAGTAAATGTGCTTGGCCTGATCTTAAGTATTTTCTCCGTAAAAATCTAGTCTTATGTAAATTTGCTTTCTTATAGACTACAACGTTAAAATTCTGGAGCTGAATGAAGAATATCTACTTAGTCATTGCAGTTCTCCCAAACCCCTGACTCCATGCCAGACTGGTAAAATCTGCAATGGCATGTCTCTTCTTATGGTTGCAAGTCTCTTCTTATGGTTGCAACTTGGCTTGCTTTGGACAATTATCAACATTACCACTTGTCATGGCTGTTGCAAGATGCATGGAATACATCTGCATATGATTCAGAACCTTATCACATGCTGACACCTAGCAGGAAGCATTCCAGGAACTTGTTTCTGTTTCACTCTGATTGAACAGGAAAATGACACAGTAGTGACACATCATCCATCATCTGAAGTAGGTACAGAGTTGTACAAAAGCCACGCATCTTGTGTAGATCAATGCCCCAATTTGGGGGGTTCCATGGTGAGACAAATTAGCTTACACAATCCATGAAGGTTCACATATAAAATTCCATCCTCTTGAGAAATGGTCCTAACCCTCTTCTGTCCTCATTGTGTACATAAGCTGTATGAAACCACAGGTCCCTGGGAGTTCTTCCTGAGGATAGCAACCAGATGGAGACCATGTCATACCCTTGCTCCCCTCTCATCCCCCTCCCCACACATCATGAGGAGGGCAGCTACCTCCTGTGGTCTCCTCAGGTACTGATCCC